CAATTTAACAAATGTTTTTCTAACACTCAACCCACACACAGCACCCAGCTATGCTGTGGTGTAAATGATAAATTAGCTCTCTGCTTAACAATACTAAGAAAAAGTCAGGTGTGTTCATATATGTGATAGGAACGGACAATTGGCAACTTGAATTTAGAATGGATTGCCATTTATTATAGCATCCAAAATTTATGAAATACTTGAAGATAAATTTAAGTAAGCGTGCATAAGAAAGGACACTTAATTCTGAAACATGGGACTGCAGAGATGGCTCAGAGAATTTGATGCTCTGTACAAGATGTGAATTTGGGTTCCAGAACCCACATCAGGTGGCTTACAAGCATCTGTACTCCAATTGCATAGGATCCAATACCCACCCCATCTCCCTCTCTCATTCTCTCTCTCTCTCTCTCTCTCTCTCTCTCTCTCTCTCTCTCTCTCACACACACACACACACACACACACACACACACACTCCAAGTAAATAAGGAGATAGAGTATGATAATGTTTGAAAACATTTACTGCTCTGATATTAATCGGTGGGAACAGGAGCAACATCTCGGTGGGTAAGAGCTCCCATCGCTCTTCTAAGGGATCTGGGTTCTATCTCCAGCTCCCACCTGGTGATTCACAACCATGTATAGCACCTCTTCCAGTCTCTGTGGGTTCCAGAAGTGGTGCATAGTTGGACCTGCAGACAAGACACCCAAACATAAAAATACAGTAAGAATTTTTAAAGGATATTAGTTCTCCTAAAGTTAAGCCTGTCCATTCCATGAAGTCTCAGTGAGCATCCAGGCAGGGTTTTTCCTTTTTGATTTTTGTTGTTATTAACATTGGCAAACTTACGCAGAATCTTTTGGAAATAAAAAAGGACCTCAGTTTTTTCAAAGAATTTTGAAAAGGAAGGCTGTGTGACTTATGTACAGACCAACTCTATTGGTAAATATTAATTTGATGATTTATGGACAGAGATAATGGAATCGAATAGAGCCTAGAAATGTACTACAGTAAGTAGCCAGTTGATTTTCATGGGCAGAATGGATATTTTTTTATAGAAGAGACATGGAACAATAGCTATCCCTATTTTCAAAAGAAGAGCTATTTAACATGCATATGTAAAGGTTAAAAGTCACATACTGTTTGCATCTTTAACAATAACGTGTATATAGCTACATGTTTATGTGCTATCTATGTACATATATGTTGAAGTTTTATAAATATTATATATGATGCACATACATTTATTAAAAGCTAAAGGGCATGCATTAAGCTCCAGATTAAAGGGATGCAATTCTTCTTTCAGAAACGGGCCAACATCAAATGCAAATAGATACTAAGAGCTTTGCAATGAACATGCTACATATAAAACCACATTCGTATCGGGCATTTGAAAAGAAACTAAAGATTACTAGATCAGTTGAACAAAACCTTCAAAATGTAAAGGGAAAATTATTTTATCTCCAGCCTAGGAATCCTATAATAAATAAAGGGAGAGAAACACATTAGATTTAGGCGGTCAGGGAGGCCAGTCTTAGAGGAAAAAATGGGCAGTGCCGAGACTACGTGTATACAATAAGTCAAAAGCTCTTACGAGTATGACTTTAGGCTCTGACGAGTATGAAGTACGCCTGCCTGTAAGGAGGCAAGAAATGAGGGGGAGGCATGGCAAAGACCCGAGAATGGGTTGGAATAGGAATGTTTAGAGCAATTATTATTAGGTCTGAGACCTCTGTGTGGGAAGAAGGATCACTGAGTACAATACCACAAAGGAGAGTTTGAAACAATGCAGTTTTTAAATAAGAAAACTTAAAAACTGTACAAGAACTGAAATGGAATTGGATTCGGCTATATAATAATATGTTGTGATTAATATCTCCGTTAATAATGGATATTTCCATTTTTATACTATTAATTTGAAATTGTCTTGTAACTTGAAATCAAAGGAGGCTTGAGAAAATGTTTGTGGGGCTAAATTCTTACCAAAAGACAACCTATCACCTCTATCACTGTTGAACAAAGAAAACAGGTACATTATTTAATGGGATAAAATCACTAGACATTGGAAGACATTGCTTTGGGGATTATGGTTAGATTTTGTTGGCCACACAGGAAAGGTTTAATGTATTTCAATGGCACATGTTTAATTTTTTAAGTTTTTTTTTTACACATGAGTGTGTATAACTGGTAAAAATAAAAATAATCATTGAATTAAAAATAACATAATCTTGCTGGAGAGATAACTCAATGGATAACGGACTTGCTGCTCTTCCAGAAGAGCCAAGTTTGGTTGCCAGCACTCACGTGGAGGCTTTCACACCTCCTGTAAGACATGTTCCTACCTCAGACACACCTTCCCTCCCATTACCTTATGCTAAAGATTCCATATATTGTACTAGTCTCCGCTGTTTTACACTGCAGACCCCATCACAGTCTATAGTATACATTGCTAGTAAATAGAGTCTCAGTCACATGGGAACCATAAGAATTTGTTCTGTGCCATACAGGGCAGTTTCAGCATGGTATTGTTACCTTCTTTTCTTTTTGATAAATATATGTTCAATAAATGAGAGCAGTAAAAGAGAGGGTAGACTATTTCCAGAGCAGCTTCCTTTGAGATAGAATAGTATTCTAGTAAGACACTTCAGAATCCAAAATATCACCAGATATTTGTTTTATTGATATAAAGTGGAGATGAAGAGGTGATGAAATTGAGGTTATACTAGTAAAAGTCAGTTTTAAAAGTTAACTACGGACAACCTCATTGATCTCACTGAGAACCTGATGGGAGGCAGAGGGAGAAGTAGTATTTTGGAAAATAAATAAATGACAAAGTGGGAGAAGAATTAAAGTGTGAGATAGGCTCCAAAACCCACCCTAAAATTCAGTGGCACCGCTCCGGGGCTTGCGTCCTTGATTGCATAAAAAAAAAAGAAAGAATGGCAAACACTCCCATTCCTTGCTCTCTCCTTTCTGATTGTGGAGTATGTGACTTCCCGCTGCTTTAAGTTCCCAGCCAGGATGGGTCGTGAACTGAAGTAAGTTCTTCTCCTGAGTTGCTTTATCAGGGCATTGCATCACAACAACAGGAGAGATACTCAGACAAAAGTCTGTCTGTCTGTCTGTGTGTGCGTGTGTGTTTGTTACTATAGCGAATAAACTGGGGGGGTTACAGAGGTTAGAAGCCAAGAACAGTAACATATAGTCATACTTTAGTTAAGCTGACATGATACGTAGATGCTGAAAGTAACACGGAGAAATCATGTGAAAATAATCAGCAAACAGAACTCATAGTGTCCGGTATAGCAAACAAACACAGGGGATAGTGGGGGGTGACTGAACTGACTCACAGTGGACTATACTTGTGTCTGGTGAATGGTAGTGGTTAGTAGACTTATCCAGCATATGGTCATCTTTGTTTCTATGGTAATAAAAAATGAAAACACTTTTGGTAGGGTCACATCTTACAGTGTACATACATACAGCTACATAAACTACATATAATTTAGTCTGATTTGCTTACATTTTAATGTTCCCAGGAAGACTATTTTCTACACATGTATTAACAGCTACTTTCCAGAAGTAAAACAATGAATACCTGGTTTTCAAAAAATGAATTTCCCCCCAGTATTTTTAAATGGCTAATCTTGCCTTAGATCATTTTTATCTAAGGTGCATTATTAAATTTGCATTATGAAACAGTCGATTTGAATGTGTGTGTGCATCAGATAGGATCCACAGTTTGGGTTGATTTTGCTGTTGTTGAGCATTTGTTTTTCTGATCATCAGTGCAAAGGTTAAGCAACTTTGAGTGCTTCTGCTTGCTACAGTTCTACGGTTTCTAGCGTGTCAACACCTGGGTTTGTAAGGTTGCTGGCAGTGAGGATATTATTATGAAAACTGAGGCTGCTCTGTGTTCTCTAGGCGAAACTAAACGATTCCTCAGGGAGTCAAATGAGATTAGCTGCCCTGATTCCCACTGTCCTTCAGGGGCTCTGGCGCTGACCACTTACTGGTGTCTGTTGTTCTGGATCCATGTCAAACCAAGAAGCGAAGTGCTCATGACAACCTTAAGGATAATCCTGTCTCAAAATATCTCAGTCCGTAAGGTTTTTTTCTATGAGTTTTTCAAAGTTGTTCACCATAAACATCACAGTACATGTTTTAGTAACTGTATTGAGATAATGGCTCCATAGCTATTAGGAGAAATTCCCTTCCATGATATGAGATGTTGTGGAAGGCACCATTTCCATGGTAACTAAATATGTTAGGGCTCTAGTGGTCCCCCGCTCACAGCACTTTGGAAGGTAATTCTTGGAAGCACAAAGGCAGGATCTGCACAGAGAGTGTACCCACTTGTTGCAAAGCTCTGTTATGTGGACAATTGCTACCGAGTGTGGGGAGATAGACAGACAGACAGGCAGACAGACAGATAGAGAAACCACCTCTCTCGTTATATATCTATAATTTTTCAATGCTTGAATTCTTTTTAGTTTTCTTGGTACTCATGAATAATCTCTTTATTTAAACAGTGACATTTCAAGATGTTGCATTTTTAGTTTTTCTTCAGAAAAATTCTCAGCTCTTACTAAAACTCATATGTGTGTGTGCGCGCACTTACACACACACACCTTACTGTATATGCAGGATAGCCCCGACAAGTCTTTTTAATAAGAGAACCCTGGCCTAACTGTAAAGGTTAATGGGTTAAGAGTCACATTATGTACAGACTGATTGATCATCAGCCCCGAGGATGGGAATGCAGACAATACAGTCAGAGCAGGAGTTGATTCAGTATTTCCCCTACTCCTGGAGGTGCGATCTTCCTATCTTCTTGCTGTCTTTCGTTTTAGTAGACAGTTTATTGTTTTTGCCTAAATTGGAGTGTGGAGGAGGAAGACTAAGTCTGAAGAGCATATAAACAATTCTTCCAAATATCAGAAGTTGAGCTGTTCATTTGCTGAGGCGAGGAGCACACTAACCCTGACTCTCTTCACAGTGGGTAAGCCTCACAAGTGTAACTACTGTGGACGAAGCTACAAGCAGCGCAGCTCACTGGAGGAGCACAAGGAACGCTGCCACAACTATCTCCAGAATGTCAGCATGGAGGCTGCCGGGCAGGTCATGAGTCACCATGGTGGGTAACAATGCATTTGTGATTCTTCTTCCTCCTAGTCTGCCGGGTCTAGTCCTTCTCGTGGGTTAAACCGTCCCTTCTCTCTTTCTACAGTTTTCAACCACATTTGCTTTGCATGGGATTATCTTCCTCAGCAGTTGACATGAGCTGTTCTGGAACACATGACGAACGAGATTCTTGAGTTTCCGTGGCACTCCCAAATCAGTTCTGATAGCATGTGTTTGAATTAGCACAGTAATGACAGCCAGCATTAGAGCTACATTAGAAATGCCACAGGAAAGGACTGTTCAGTCTTCTCTTGTATCTCTCTATGGCAGTGGTTCCACATAAATCTCTGAGTTCCGTCCATGGATGCAGAGGGGCTTAATACTCCTCCCTGGGTGTTATAGCTTCTCTCAGAGGTGCATAACCAACTTGATATTGTGCCTAATAATTTATTCGGGGAATTGGTAGTTTTACTTTATACACATGCAAGAGATAACCTAGACCAAAATTTGACCCTTCTCCTTCCTCCTAAAACACATTCTGTCAGGAAAGCATCCTAGCAGTGTGGAAGGAGGTCCCAGTGGTGTGACAGCTACAATGAAGTTAGTTAGTTCAGCAAATCAGTCTTCTTACAAAGGTGATCTTTAAATTCTTAGCATCTCTCTTACCTACTTATACCAAGTGATTTCATACAAATAAAAACAAAAGCCCTTATATCTTATTGGTATATTTGTGTTTTATATTTTAAAAGAATTGACTAATACTAGATGGTATAATTTCCCCCAGTCACTTTAAAATATATAAATATTAATTGATTTAGATATAGACAATCAAAGATTGTTTATCAATTTTTAGTTTGCTTTTTATATACATAATATACTGTGGGCGTGATTTTGTGGGTTTTAATTTGTTTTTTTTCACAGTTTTAAATATTTTAGTTATTTACCTTAGTTTGAGCCCTTACATAAAGAACTGATTCTGTCAACTAAACGGATGAGTGAGGTAGCATAGGACCCAGAGCGTCGAGGCTATACAGTTGTGGGCATTGGACCTGAGGAATCTGGTTTGACTATCTTGTCTTTGAATATGTGGGTCATAGGTATGTTATGAGAATTACATGTAATAGGTTATATGATAAGTGTCTTAATTGATTATTTTGCTATTAGATTTTACAGCTTTAATACTAAGAGCCAGTAAATAGGCCAATCTTTTTAATGTTATCACCATTTTAACATTGGGGTTTGCATTTGCCTACTTGGATCATAGGTTTGTTCTAAATCAATGGCTTTCAACCTTCCTAATGTTGCAGCCCTTTAATACAGTTCTCCTCTTGTGCTGACCCCCAACCATAACATTATTTTTGTTACTACCTCATGCGTGTGATTTTGCTGCCCTTATGAATCATAATGTTAGTATTTTTTGAGACAGAGGTTTGTTTGAGGTTGAGAACAGCCGTTTTAAATGGTTGGTTTGGGGGCTGACTGGAGACAGAGGGCTGAAGTGGGTTCAGCTGCATGCAGAAGCTCTCCAAAGATGCTCCGTAATGTCCTCATTGGTTTCTCCTTGTGATAGTCCCCCATTGCAATTCCGGCCTTTGGTTAGAGGGCATATGCAAATTCTGTTAATTTATTTCTATCCATTCATTTACAGACTTCTGAATTACATGTCTACAGAGATAAAAGCCAGAGCTTTTCATAACTTTATCTCATTTCGGAGAATTATATGTATATGGACCTATCTCAGTATGTGTGTCATATCTTCCGGAGAGATAGCTATGTGGCCTCTAAGTAATTGGGGCTTTGGTACTGTCCCATTTCCCAGGTTTTTAGTCCTTCTCCAGCGTAGGCTCTGGTGATGAACCTCAAACGCAGTAAGAATGAGCTTGAAAGAGAAGGCAAGACGCTGGGGCCAGCAGGACTGGGCCAGGGAGGAGTCAAATGATGACAGGTTTTGGGGTTCAGGCTGTAACATTCGTTCTTAATTATTAGATAATGCTTCAACCACACCCACTGCATGGTTAACACCATTTCGTGGCTGTGCTTTTCTGGATTCATAGTAATATTCTGAGAGCATTGTAAGTCTCCTTTTCTTTCCATGAACATATTTAATAGGGAACTGTATTGAACGTGTGAGGAAGTAAACGACAGATGTCGTGGGGAAGCAAAGGTGGGATGCCATTACAGTTGTTAATTGTCTCATGTGCATAGCTTGCCTTACATCTCAGAAATTCCTATTATTCTTTCTTTCTCTTCTGTCCTCTTACCTTTTCCCCCCTTTCTGTTAGTTGTATGAATGGACATTTTTATCAGTATTGCTGGCCTCAACTCCATGTCTGACATAGTTAATTTTCTTAGCCTCCCTTTTCCAAAACTGGCGTTTCATGAGAAGAAGGGTCTGAAGAAAAAGTGATATTCTTCCACTTCATCCAGAAAAGACTCTCAAAGACCTGCTATGGAGCATCCTGGAAGTAGAAAGATAAAAGTTTGCACTTTATATACCTTTATTAATTAGTGAACAATCCAGGTTAAAAATAACCAAATGAGCTGAAGTGAACACTGTAGTAATGATGTCTGTGAAGTTCTCCAAGGCCACAGCCCTTCGCTGATGAAGTTGAGGAAAGCTTCAAACTTTCATAGCATCAGATCTGAGAATGAGAAGAGAGACAAAGTCCATATATCTGACAGCTGACAGACTGTATGTCCCATGCAGAGAAGAGGTGTGTAGGCATCAAAGGAAATTAGCAGATATTTCAAGTTAATTGAAAGAGCAACAGAAAGCAAGGCTGAAGTATCAGGTTGGGAGGCAAAAGCACTGTATGCTGTGCCAGCCTGTGAATGTCATGGTTTAATCGATAAGAAGCCACTGGGTGATTAAAATCAGTGTCCACCAAAGGGAAGCATCATCAATGTGGAGAAAGGTTTGATGTCTCCCTGGGTCATCGGAAAGTATAAGCAGACTGGTCCCAGTGATCCAATGAAAGGAGGCAAAGACTGTCAAGACAAGGAAGTAGGGTGGAGTTCTGAAGGCATATTTAGGAAGAGAATTAAATGCTCTTATAAATATCAGTTGAATGGAAAGAAAATGAAGTTTTCTTAGAATTTGAAATTTGAAGTATTTTTGATAAAAAGAAGCAGTGTTGGGAATACTCTTATTGATCTACATTTTGGTTTATTCGTGTGATGAAATATGATATGAAAAGTTAAATACACTTTTATCCGCCATATTACTTCAAATAAAATAAAAAAAGATGAAGATGCTGAGTTATGGAATTTGCTCCAACAAATGAAGCTGTTATCATATATATATATATCAAATGTATGTGTGTGTGTATATATATATACATACACACACACACCTTTGGTCTGGATAAATCTCTTGTCATGTAATTAACACAATTGAGACATGAACTACCTAGAAAATTTGCTTTGAATTCTAAATAGTATAGATCCAGAAACAATATGTTAAGTTGCACCACATTTATGAAGGCAAAATCTCAGATTATGTAATTAAGGAAAAAAGTGTCAGGTCTTTTCCCCAATGAATTTACAAGGCTGTCGAGACGTTATATACGATGGCAGTATTCAAAATATGTCTACAAAAATATTATAGCGCAGTCCAGGCATTCTCTAAAGCAAAACCTCTCAGGATTAGCATTATGACCTGATAGAGATGCACAGCAAATATTGCCTCCAACCGTGGTGTCGTCGATTCCCTGCCTGTAAAATGAAGAGCACCTGCCTCCTGAGTATCGTGCAGACTGTTAAATGTAAAGCCTTGAAGTAGTGCTTACTACCAAGTTTCTGTCCGTCAGTATCGCTGCCAGGGTGGCAGAAAGTTGGTCTTTTGGCATGAGGAGCTGTTGTGAAATAGAGAATAGAACAAGCTCTGTTATAGTCATTGTTTTCAGTTCACATGAGCTTCATTGAACTTGAGACAAGTCATCTGAACTGAGGTGGATGTGGTGTGGGAGAGTCCCCACCCAGGTTTCATTTTGAGTGTTAGGTGTGTGCAGATATGAAAATTCAGTGTAAAACCTAAAGCAAAACTGCCGCTCTTTAGACTACTCATTTCAGAACCAATTAGCATGTTCAACTTGCAGGGCAAACCCCATCGACTAGTTTTACTGCCTTTGGGGCAAATTTTACAACAATTTTTTGCCTGCCAATATTTTCCGTTTTGTGTCTAGGCCCGTGATATGTATGTTCTTTGGTTCACACGTGGACTACTTTGTAGTTTGGTAGCTTGTTTTGGTTTTTGGAACAGACTCCTGGTACCTGTCCCAGGCTAACATCCAACTTATGGCACTTCTCCTGCCTGAGCTTCCTAAGAACTGGGGTTACAGGCATGAGCCGCCATGCCCAGCATGTCATTATTTTATTACGGTAGTAAGTGCTTATGAATTTACTACTGAAAACACAAGGTCATAATCTTCATCCCACCGCCTCTTTCCTTGCCATGCCAATGCGATTACTTCAGCCTCCCGCCTCCTGGCTTTCTTAGTTGAGGTCTGTGATCAACTTGGTATTGTTTTTTCTTAACCCGTTTTCTTAAAAAATTTTGATTTTTCTTCCAAGTTATTTATAGTTGTTAAAAGATCACATAATATCTTATGTGATCCTTTGGGAGAAATTTTTCTCTCGATAGTATCATAAACAGTATACGTGCTTAATGCCCTTATTTCTCATTCTCGCCTTGCCTTTCTTTTCCACGCTGGCTGACATCCAACAGTTAGAGAATTCCTTGTTATTCAGAGCCAGAGGGTGCCTTCTTAAATGTAGATTAAAGTTTAACTTCTCCTGGTGTACCCACTAAGTTACCCAGACATTCATTGTTGATTTTTTAAAAATGACCGAGTGAAGAATGGCTTCTTGGTGATCTCTTTCATTTAAGATCAGCAACATGTATTGATAATCAATAAGTCATGTGACATGTGTTTTCATTCCAGCTTTGCTTTAAAATTTTTGCTGTCCATCAGCGGGTTTCCCCCCTTGGAGACTAGAGCGCACTGGGTTTCATGCAGTAGGTCTGTCCTCTACAAATAAAAGGACCTGCATGAATCACTCAACAGTGGATGCTGAATGAGGAAAGAGCACCCAGGAGGTGTAAGAACCTCTGGTCCTTCCTCTGATCTGTGTGGAATGTTGCCCTCTTCGTAGCTAAATATCCTGGACAGGATTCTTACTGAAAAGTGACTTTTCTGAGTCCCTTGTCTACCCTAGCAATGTCCATATTGAGGCCAGGAGCAGCCGAGACAAGCACGGTGAGTGGAGCCATGAAATGAGTTAGAGCAGCAGTTCCGAGAACCAGAGAGCCAGGTTGGAAATGGGTTCCTTCATCATCCTCCTCGAGAGCTGTCTTTAGAGATGAACCACAGCCTGGAAGCTCCTACAGTTAACTCTGCACAGACAAGCGCAGAACCGGACCCCCTGCGTGAGGGACCCAGTGCAGGTGGTTATGCTGCCAGGAAGGCTGAGGCCTCATCAAATAGAAGGCCGGCTGCAGGAAAGCACCCAGGGAAAAGTCATCAATACCCAACCGCTGCTGAGCCTTCCTCCAAAACAGGGTGACAGATGTAAATTATTTTAGAAAATTAAAGTCAAAGTCTTGGTAATAGTGCAGTCTAAAGAATTACCAACTTTAATCTACACTACACATACTTCAGAGGAATAAAATGAAGAAAAAGAATCAGATGAACATGTTGGTCACCAGCAGTGGTAACAGTTTGTGTCACTGATCTGAGAGGGATTCATAAAAATAAACTGTGTGTATGTGTGTGTGTGTGTGTGTGTGTGTGTGTGTGGTACTAAACAATATTCTTTAATACTGTGTATTTTCATTTCCTTTTATCTGAGTAGACAAAGTTATCTTATGTAACACATATCAGGATAGCATACATATCTGTGTCTCTCAAATGTTGAAGAATTCACCAGATTGCCTTCTTATTTGGTTTTATGTAGTACCGCCCATGGAAGATTGTAAGGAACAAGAGCCTATTATGGACAACAATATTTCTCTGGTGCCTTTTGAGAGACCTGCTGTCATAGAGAAGCTCACGGCAAACATGGGAAAGCGCAAAAGCTCCACTCCACAGAAGTTTGTGGGTAAGCAGCACAGACGGATGATTTGGTTCTGTACCTGGGGACGGCGATGGAAAGAGACAGTTCCATGCATCAGACATGAGTGGTGTGTTCCATGATGTGAGAACAACCATGTCTTTGCTACATCATTCTCTCCCGCTCTATGACCTACCATGTGCGGTGTGCATGCACACTGCGTGTGCACAGGCTTAGGCCTATGGGAAAGTATTAAAGGATGATTGCTAGATAGTAAGCACCATCTCAGCATGCAGTGATATGTAAAGTGAGATCATGTGTTAAAGCTAACGTCAATTTAATTCATACTGAGTAAGAGATGGGATCTACACTATTGGCCACATTTGTGGTATCTTTTCATTTCTATTACTGTCAGCTTTTTTGACTATTTTAATTTCTAATGTTAAGTCTCTGAATATTTGATCTAGAATTCAAAGGCATTTTAGGTGTTTCCAAACTTTGCCATCAGAAGTTAATGTAGCAGTGCCATCTAAGACATGGATCTGTACTCTGTGTTTTGATCCTTATTTTTAATCCAGCCTTTGATTTTTGAGCTGAAAAATCATATATTTATGTGGATATTATTATTCATTTCCAAGTCTTTCGATATTCCCTGGTGTTCCCAGTGTTGGCATCTGTCTTTTTCTATGCAGTATTTTGGGGGTCACCTTTTAAGAAGAGGGCCTTGCATTTTTTTAAAGAATGTATGGATGATAGAGTTTCAGTGGGAAGTGTTATTAAAGAATTATTATTGTTGTACATGTAAAATCTTCTTATAGTGATACGGTTTTAAAATAGAGGTAAAACTAGTAAAAAAGATTCTCAGCTTCTAACACCAGAGAGCAGGGTAAGAGAGAGACTCTAAATTGTACCGAGTACAGCTTTTCATCCCGTTCCCCTTTAATGGTATTTATGAATGGAAGAGAGGTGGCAGTTCACTTACTTATTTTATCTTTTGTTTTATTTAGGCTCTATTTAGGCAATTTTTCTTTTGTATTTTTTAGACCATGTCTCATCTTGCGGCACTCTCATCCACAGCAATCCTCCTGCTCCGCCCACTGCATGCTACTGTTGCAAGCAGGAGATACCATGCCGAACCCTGCATTTAGTTTAGAAAGAGATTCCTTTGTGAGGGATATTCATATCTAACCGACTACTGATGTAGTTGGAAAGAACAAGCTACTATTATTTCTAACTTCTGAATTTATTTAGCCAATTTTTTGTCACAGTTTTTTGTTTCCTTTGACTCAGAAATGCTACCTTTTGTTTGTTTGCTTTTCTTTTCTTTCTTTCTTTCTTTTTTTTTGTTTTTGTTTTTTGAGACAGGATGTATTTTTAGCCCTTGATGCCTGAAACTTGTGTGTAGAGCAGGCTGGCCTTGAACTCAGAGATCCATCTGCTTCTCCCTTCCAAGTGTTGGAATTCCTTAAAAGAGAAAATTTTATAAAACCACAATATGATTTTAAAATAACATTATATTTTTATTTAAACTTGATTTTTTGTTTTTTTTAATTTGGAATATATTCTGGTAATATGCAGCAAACAATAGCTTCATCAATTGAGTAACTCTCTATTTGACTGCTCTTAAAATGGAAATTTTCATCATTTAAACTTAGCATGAACCCTTTTCGCATGCCCCTCAGTTAAACACTGCTGTCTGACCTACTGCATTCTCCAGGCGGTGATTCCTGACCTTCTGTCTGTCTGTCTCTTCTACCCTACTTTACACAGCTGAGATTCACACTTCATCCCTTTTACCACAGCCTGCCAGTATTTTTGACTCTCTTGCCATGTCCTACTCCTCCTGGGGACATCTCACTGTCCCATGAGTTGAGCACAGCATCTTTTCCACACTCTGTCTCAGCTGCCAGTAAATATTTCTGGCAAAATTCCTGTGAATGACTGCCACTATAGGTAAATGTGCAATTGATCTGAAATACCAGATTGGCCACCGAAGGATGTAATGACATTCTTTCAACATATCCTGAAGAGTCTTCTCTCCTACTCCCACATGTCTCTACTGTCCACACACTCCGTATGTCTGTCCTTGAAAGTCTTATGTCTATAGTCAGAGGGAGCAAATGAGATGATTGCATTATACCATCACCAATGCTCTAGGTTTGTGGGCACCCATGTAAATACCGCATGTCTTTGGCCTCTTTTAGTGAAAGCAGCATCCCTCTCTCTGATTGAGGTTAATTCCTGGATTTTGTGCTCCTTAGTTCTCTGTCCTATCCTCATTTTATTTCCATCTTTCTCACTTTGCTATCTGGACTTGAAGGGCAATTCTGTTAACTTCAGCCCAAGTCTCCATCTGCTTTCTCCTCTTCAAAGATGGAATTCTTAGTGCCTCCTTCCCATGCTTTCCTTTGTTCTATTCCTTTTCCGGAGCATGCAACCTGGCTTTCTTGCCTAGGTTCCCCTGAAAGTATTCTCTTAGAGGCTGCAACCCATTTGCATGATTCTGAATTCAATGAGTCCCATGGAGGCAGTGTCCAACACACACATCCTAAGAGCGCCTGCCACTGTTGAAATCTTAAACCCATCTGAAAAACACTCTTCCCTTGGATTCTAGAACATTTGTCTTTCTCCTTTTCTTCCAGCTTCTCTGTTCTTCCTCACTGAACTGTCCACATGTATAGAATTCTAAAGAGTCCCCACTAGACTCGGGACTGAGTACATAACTGCCCTATGGAAGACCCATTCTTGGTTTTTTTCATTTTCAAAACCACACACACATACATGAATGCACACACGCACACACTCATAGGTGCCCCTATCTGTACATACAAGTTCTTTGCCTATTGAACCATACAGATAACATGTAGAGAATCAGATGTTTTTAGGGATCGGCCTAGGCACGTGCTCTCCATAGCACTGCTGGTGCATAGGATGTACAGACCCTAGAAACTCACCCAGAAGCTGTTGTTGGAGGATTCTGGGGTCCTTATACAGTGAAGAGTGAAGCTTTCATTCTCTGGCCTTATGAAATCCTCGTTCCATGAGAAACAGGGCCAGTGTTCTAGATACACTGCAAAGTGTGAGAATCCAGCTTGGCTCTGACTGTTGACACAAAAGATTTTCCCCAGCACTCTTCTTGACCTTTTCTTCAGTTTACCCACATCTGAGTGATGCTATCAACTGTCATGCTTCTAGAGCTGCCCTCTACCAACCGAGGCTGACGCGTTTGTATCTCCCACCCAGATACTTCTTCTGAGTACTTACCAGATGTACCTGTTCTTCATCTTGATCTTTAAACCGAAGCTATCCCCTTTTCCATCTTGCTATCACCCACTCCGTTTCCCAAGACTGAAAACTCACCTTCATGCTTCCTGCTTCTCATTATCTCTGCCTAGAGAATCACAAAGGCCTAGCTAGCAGCAGCACACGCAAAGGCACTGCCCGTTCCGTCAACCTTTCTCCATTTGTCCCATCACTGCTCTAGCCCAGGCCTCTCACGACAGCAGCTTTCTGAATCCTCTTGTTGAGTGAGGTGGTGGCGCACACCTTTAATCCCAGCACTCGGGAGGCAGAGGCAGGTGAATCTCTGTGAGTTCTGTGTTAACCTGGTCTACAAGAGCTAGTTCCAGGACAGACTCCAAAGCTACAGAGAAACTCTTGAAAAACAAATGAACAAGAGAGAGAAAGAGAGTAAATATTAAAGGAGAAACAATATACTTCAAACAAGAAAAGGATTTTGAAAAGTCACCAATCCCAAAAAACAAAACTTGAATTCTTTTCAACTTTGTGAACAAGTGTTTTTAGAAACAATTCTTAATACATTTTAATTACATTTATTTTATCAGCTTTTAAATCACTTTAATAATGATTGTTTGCATTCTACTGACTGATGTATATTAACTCGATAGCTTTTCTCTTCTAAAGTAATAGTTAAATCAGCCAAATTATTCCTCCTCGAGTAAAACAGCACAGTCTATGACCACATCCCTTCTGCTCTCCTGGGCTTTGTAGTTCATTCCTGTGTTTGAGATATGCAGAAATGGGCACAGTCTCTGATTCATTTTGACCTGGAATTTATTCTTTCTCCTAAAATCTTGAGTGTCATGCAAATGAAATTTTAAGAAAAGTTAAAATTTAAGTAAAAAGCTATCAGGCTGGGCATTTCCGGGACGGCATTAGAGCAAGTGCAAATGGCTCATTACCAATTTCTTTAGCATTGTCACAGTACCTGTGCATCTTGAAAGAACGGAAATGCCCAAACACTTGACCTGTGTAAAACAGACCAAGTGTTTAGTTAACTTTTACCTTTTTATGTTTTTAATTCAACCACTAATTTTGTTGTGTTTTCTCCTTTTCTCTTTCCGATTTTTTTTTAATTTTAGGGGAAAAGCTGATGCGGTTCAGCTACCCAGATATTCATTTTGATATGAACTTAACGTATGAGAAGGAGGCTGAGCTGATGCAGTCTCACATGATGGACCAAGCCATCAACAATGCAATCACCTACCTTGGAGCTGAGGCCCTTCACCCTCTGATGCAGCATGCACCAAGCACAATCGCCGAGGTGGCCCCAGTTCTAAGCTCAGCTTATTCTCAGGTCTATCATCCAAGCAGGATAGAAAGACCCGTTAGCAGGGAGACGTCTGACAGTCACGAAAACAACATGGATGGCCCCATCTCTCTCATCAGACCAAAGAGTCGACCCCAGGAAAGAGAGGCCTCTCCCAGCAATAGTTGCCTCGATTCTACTGACTCAGAAAGCAGCCATGATGACCACCAGTCCTACCAAGGAAACCCTGCCTTAAACCCCAAGAGGAAGCAAAGCCCACCTTACATGAAGGAGGATGTCAAGGCCTTGGATGCTACCAAGGCCACCAAGGGCTCTCTGAAGGACATCTATAAGGTTTTCAATGGAGAAGGAGAACAGATAAGGGCCTTCAAGTGTGAGCACTGCCGAGTCCTTTTCCTAGACCATGTCATGTACACCATTCACATGGGTTGCCATGGCTACCGGGACCCACTGGAATGCAACATCTGTGGCTACAGAAGCCAGGACCGTTATGAGTTTTCATCACACATTGTTCGAGGGGAGCACACATTCCACTAGGCCTTTTCATTCCAAAGGGGACCCCCATGAAGAACTGCACATGAAGAGATACTGCACTTACAACCCCACCTTCCCTCTGAGGGTGACCTTCTTTCTCCTTAAATACTGTCACTGTCCTTGATTCTTATTTTGTGGACAAAATGTCATTTGCTCTGCCTGATTATAGTAAGAAAGAAACCTGAGGAAAGGGATGAGATGCTCACTGGTAACCTGGCTTGTTTATTTTGTGGGTGTTTAAAGCAGTCTATTTCTGCTATGCGTTCAGATTAAGGCCTGTCCTGCTTTGGGAAATCCTTTGGTTCATAGAGATTCACCTAAAATAGTCTGGTTTGCCCTTGATGTTCAGGATCATGATGGAAGGTGGGGAAATTGAGAGTTTTCTGGATAGGACTCTGGTGATTTGAAATGCTCTAAGTAATTTTACTCTCCAAGATGTTTCAAAATGTAAGCCTGTTTTATTTTCTGTTCGTAGAGATGATGGAACACAAACACATTGTTTTTCCCAATAACTCCTAGGATGAGTTGAATTGTTGTGGGTTCTGTGTTTACCTCCCCTACGGAATTTATAATTCAGTATGTATTACACTGTATCATATAGTAAAACTTTTAAACTACAGGTAGTTAGGGGCCACTGTGATACACCTGAGGTCCTTTAATCTTATTTTTCTAAACTTGTGCACTGTTTTTCCATAGTTTTGATGACTGGCATTTTATAGACACCTTGGCAGCCTTACTTTTAACACCTGTAACAAATAGTATTTTTATGTAGTTTTCAGAATAACATATGGTCGGTCCGAGAGTGGGTAGGAGGCAGTCAGCAGTTTCCAGGAAGATTTCTGTTTTTCACAATTTGGGATTTTCTTTTAAATTGTACTGTGACAGCAGCCTAATATCCGTTTTTGTTTCTAAAGATGTGTTACGATTGTCACTTTCTCCACACTTAATCAGTGTTAACTGGTCAGCAGAAAAGTGTAATTAGGCTAACAGTAGGGGAAATCCCACTCTGAGAACCCTCGCCTGGTATTTTTCTTCAAGCTGTGACCACTCAGTGTTCCGTTCATAGTCCATTCCTCTCTGACGCTTGGAATAGAAGGTCTAAAGAAGCCTGGCTCCTTCTTTCAAAATCTTGGAGCAACTACTAATTGGACCTGAATGTGGTCATTTGAATACTGGAAGGTCATTTATGAGCTAGGGCTCTTTACTCCACCATTTCTTCAGTAATAACAGTTACTACCTTTGCTGCGGACAAAAGGGAACTTCTTTGTAACCTGAATATCACACCGCAGGTCAAACTAAAGAACAACAAAGTTTTCTTTTACCCTTCCTGGAGTTGAGAATGGGACAGGTGAAAGTCCTGCACTTAAAAAAAAAAAATTAGAAATTCAACTCTATAAATCCTTGTCAGAAATTAATCTCAATCCCTTAGTAGATTCTCTGTCTTCTCTTTATTTGCACAAGGCATATACTTCCATATGTGGAGGTTTTAAGTTGATCTCTGTGAGTGCCTGGCTTTTTCTCTGGAGTTCATTGGCATTTGTGGGTGGGATTGGAGCACACTATCCTAAGTCATTTGGGGAAATGCATTTGGCAGACATAACTCACTGCTTGTGTTTGAGGAAAACAGTCTGACCATGACTGGATTATCTGATAGTCATTTATGAACGGGGAAGGTCCGATACACAGTAATAGTTGCTCGAGCAGACCCTTGAATAGGGTGCTGAAACCTTGCAACTGCATTGTGCCGTGGGTAGTATCGAGACTAGAGAATGAGGCACCAATGAGCCGTGTTCTCATCCGTTCTCTTAAGCCACCTTAGCTCTAACATAGGTAGGTTTAGGTGGGAAGGTTCTGACTGAGCTCTTTCACTAGCCCTATCTTGGTTATTTCTGGAGAAATGTCCAGAGGATTCCTTTACATGTAAGAGAACACACCCAAACAAAGATAGAGCTAATGCCGGATGTTGGGTTTTTCATATTTTGTTGTCATCCCTTGGTAATTTGTGAAAACACAGCTTACTCAGGGACAAAGGGTCTTCTCAAGACTCCCTTTCCCCACTTACTCTGTACACTCTCTCACGAATTATGATGGAAATGCCATTTCTGTGTGAGGGAGGTACATAATGATAAGGCTCATGATTTTTTGTTTTTATTGCAATTTAACAAAGCTTTTGGATGCCTGTCCAAGTGTTCGTAATTTTGGCTGTGTGAATTTCTGCTGGCATCCTTTATCAATTTTCTTCATTCTCTCTCCTTATACCTATTGTATTAAGAACCATGCATCTCCCTCTGCCCTAGGACTGAGCTGAATTTAAGTGTACATAAAGATTTGTGGACCCCCCTATGAAGATGGCACTAACATACTCTCTACCTTTCTAATTTTATCTTGTTGGAAAACCTGATTTATTCAAAGAAATTAGCTATGACAGGATGTTTGCTATGCAGATACACTAGCAGTTTTCTTAAAGATACATAACACAAGGTACAGGAAAAGGCATAGATGGCCTCATAGGGACAAATGAGGACAAGGTGATCTCAGAATTGTATGTCATAGTGAATTTTGTGGACATAATGCTGTCTGAGGGACTCTCAATGACGTTTCCACCAAAGAGAACAGGTGACATGGTAGTGCCTAAAAATAAGTGAGGGGGTCAGATACCAAATACATCAACTTTGCAGAGCAGTTACAAGCCCAGTTTATTTAAGCAAGATTTTGCAATTCAAAGAGTATTTGAGGGGTGTGAAAGTGGGTTATCATCTGTGTTTTCCAGTTGGGCAGAAAATTGTCAGATGACTGTCCTAATCTTGCCCAGAAATGTTTTTATCACCAGTTCTTTCTGGAGAAGCAGGCTGCCCCTCTGCAATAGTGATGAATGGCAGCTATAAAGGCTCTCTAAAACAGTGGCCAGCATGGTGAGCCCTAGGGAGAGGCGGGAACACTGCCATTCAAACATTCCATTGAGAAATTTCTGATTAGAATGGGGAAATGAGAGTTGACCGTTGAGGTTTAGGATGAAGTAAGCTGGCTGGCTGGCATACACAGGTGACTGAAGGCACGACATTTGCGGGCACATGTGTATCGCACATTCTCATAATGAAGAGTCCTGAAAAGAGACGGTTAGCATCTCCAAATGTGTTATGAAGCTTAGAGTTAGAAGTACAGCTGATACATCAGCACTTAGGTCTGCTTTACCAGGTTGTATTAAGAAATCCCAATGTTATCAGTGTGTCTTTAGGGCTAGCAGCAACTTAGATCCCAAGTCTCCATTTTCTACATCCAGAGAAAAAAAAAGTGAAACAATGAAAAGATATTAAGTTGACTGGCGAAAATTTAAAGAAATATGTATTCTTTTTATGAGAGGAAGAAAATGCAGGAAATGAGTTAGCAACTTGGTCTTGTATTTGTGCTGATTATGTCACAATTCCACACTACACAAGACTTTTGTGTAGTCTAAATTTTGACTTTGTATTTTCCAAGTCTTACTTCATCTTATCTCCAAAATGGTAAGTTATGGTGGAAAGCTAAGCAGAGGAGGCTGTGCTGGACCAGGAAAGCTGCCTGTTCCTAGATTCAGGACAGCGCTTGGACTATCAAGGATACCTGGCTACACATTTTTCTTAGCCTTGAATTATTTGTTTATTATAAAATTGTAGATTTGTGGTCATCCTCACTTATATTTCACATGTTATTTTTAACAAGTACTGCCTTTATGTATTCTACGGTTAATATTTCCCCATATTTAAAAGGGAAAAAAAGCAAGGGGTAAATTTAAACTTTGTATATATAAAAGTTATTATATAAATATTTTAGTCTTCCAGTTTCTGCAAAATAATTAAAATATACAGTAACTGGTCTCTTAAATTCTGAATTTAATGTATTAAATACTTATAAAATTTTATATTGGTGCCTTTTAAAAATGCATTGAGAGTGTTGGTAAGCTGTTTTAGCTCTACCACACTTTTACTGTGTATTTTTTAAAAAATCACATAAAATTTAAGTACTCTCTAATTTACCTATGTGTTCTTAGCAAAAAAAAAAAAAATGAACAAGAAAAGGAAAGAAAAAAAGAAAAGAAAAAAGAGAAAACCCTGCTAAAAGAATTTCCATTTCCAAACTTTCAGTTGAGCTGGCAAAAGTGAGAGGAAACTTTGAAATCAGATTTTAATCTTTTTAGTTTGATAGTATATCTGAACACTATTATACGATAGAGGAAAAATAGAAGGCAGAGTCACAAGTTAGCAGTGAATTGAATTGTTCTGTGTGTTTTTGCTTTATTCTTGAGGTAGAATATGTTTTGCATCACACAAGGTTTTCTCGTAGAATTTGAGGTCAATCATGACAGTATTGTTTTGCATCTTTTTTTACCCGACTAGTGTTGTTCTAGTCTTGGATCCTCTATCTTCTAGCCAGTGCTTGGTTTATGAAATAATGTGGAAATGCAGATCCTCGTTCCTCCTTGAACAAAACACTCAGCATTCATGTGACATAGCTGTTCTCCAAAGCACCATCTCGGATGTTAGGACAGGGCTGTCTGTCACTTGTGAGGGTGTCTTAAACTATGAAAGCTTTCTGAAACTGAGCTGCTGGTTGTATAACGTAGACATCGTGTGACCAAGAAGCTGTACTATGCTAGTGTTTCCTTCTGTCATGGTGTACTCTTAGGCCAAATTAATGACACCTTGAACATTTTTATATTTATTATAGAGACCTAAATTTTTGGAATTTCCACAAAAGTTTTATGTAACATTCTATTTCTATTTTGTTTTCTCTTGCCGTACTGTGAGTTTGTGGATTTTTTTTTCATATGCACTTAGAGATGAGTTTTAAATTCTATTTATGGTGTCTTTCTCCCATAATACTCCATTTATATATGTTCTGACATGTTTGTTATAAATTCACCTTTATCCCATATAGACTGTGGTATATGAACATCTAGTTTCCTAAGATGACTTTTATATTATGAATTAATATGAAAATTTAGAGGTCATGTGCTAAAAGCCATGTTAAGTACAGAGTAAAAACTTCCTATAGGTACAAATAAGCCAGTTTGCAGTACATCAGGCCTTCAGTTTACCTCATGTAACACATAGTAAGGAAAGCTTGGGCAGATGGAGGTCACCAAATCCCCTGCTATGCACATGCTAGGATGTCACTGAGTTTCATTTACTGGAAGTGGATTTTAAAAAGAATACACTGTAACTAACGAGAAAAATAATCTAAGGGTTGCTGATATTTTTGTTGTTTTGTTCTTTTTAAAAAGTTATTCAAATTACAAAACTGTGATCTAAAGAAAAGTTTGACGGTGGAGCACTTGAGATTTTGTGCATCAATCGCGTGCCCTTTCGTATGACAAAGATAGGTTTTCATCTCTTCGGTTGTAAGTTCTCACATCTTTGTCTCCACGGTTCACAGCCGTTCCTCCATTGTCTCGAGTGTTTTTCCTGATGCTCCTAATAGAAGAGGAGGTCAACTCTGAGCTTCTGATTCATTAAGTCTTAATTTTTTTCAGTAGTATTTCTTAGCTGTATAATCTGCTGGTGTATTTTTATACTCAAGGGTAGTTTTATATTTTTTAAAGCGTGATTGGGTTGAAACAGTAAGCTTTGTAGTCCTTACTTTGATTCATCCTCAAGGATGAGACACCCTGTGTGACTCCAGAGGTTCTGTAATCAGAGTGTCTGTCTGACTCCTTTCTGCTTGGTTGTTAAATTGTTTGGCTTTCTTCTAAAATACAAGTCATAAAAGAATAGACACCCCCCCCTCCCAACACTTAGAATGAGAATAAAAATGTAAAGCAAAGAGTTACCTTTCTTCCAACTAGGTGGACAAGTGCTTTAACAGTTCTTTGGTAATATTCCAGGCTCGGAAGGGGTCCCCAAGTCCGGGACTTGTGCAAGTAGTCCAGCCTTTTAAACCATGTGTTATTTGCAGTTTCAAAAGGCTTTGCTTCTGTTTAGTTTAACAGATATTCGTTCTTTTCATAAAAGTGCAATATCACTCACTTGTGAAGTCTTAAAAACTATGGTAATTTTTCTTTGTCTGACATTTCTTCTTTGGCAAAAAGAAACCGTTGGAAATTCTAACATGTCAAAGGACACAGCAAGCAAAGATGAAAATCACTCCACTATCAAAAGATTAAAAAACGTAGAAACAAATGACTTTCTGAGTTTCTGGAAGCTTCATTTAGCCTAAATAACCTTTGAAATTATGAGGTAGAAATATACTCTGAAACTGAAATCCTA